GGAGAGGGGTGGGGGGGGGGGGCGCCCGGTATTTTTGAAAATAGCAGTCATCAGCGGCTTGTGAGCCGCTGATGACAGCTATTCATTTAAAGGGGACAGTCTGCTGCACAGTACTACTATAAGCTGCCATCAGCTTATAATAGAACTGTAAATGCCAAGGACGTACAGCATACTGAGCTGGCCAGCTGGAAGCACTTTTGTAGCTCCGTACGTCCTTGGCAGCGAAAGGGTTAAGGGCCTGTTCACATGAGATCAGGTGCTGATCAGCAGACGTGGAGCAGCTGATGCAGTGTGTTTGACGCGTTTTCGGTCTGGATGCTGACAGTTAATTTTTTGTCAACGTTGATGACATAAGTGGAGCAAGAATACAATTTTTTCTTTTTTTTCCCCCTTAGCTGCATTGCGTTGCGTTTCCGTTCTCGTTGAGTTTCCGGACCGGACAAAATGTGACATGCGTATTTTTTCTGTCGTAAGCTGAACGGACTGCGCACGTGAGAACTGGAGCCCATAAAACACATAGGGATACATTGGGATGCATTTTGAGTGCAGCAGCGTACGGAGCCGGTCAGCACACAAAACGGACGTCGTGTGAACAGGCCCTAAAGCAAACAGACCATAAAATTTTAATTGAGCACCTCAGAGGGCTAAATATTAAGGGGTATAAAACCTTGACAGCAAAAGGGTGTTATAGGTTGATTTGATGCTTCACATGGAACACATGTAAATTATTTTACATAGGTATCAGCACAACAAACCTGGTTGTGGTCAGGAAAGGGTATAATTGAAGCACAGACTCCTAAAATCATAGATGGATGAATTTCACAATGTGTGTATGTTGAACAATAAGCAACACCCTTTTCTTGCAAATCATCAGGTGTCATCGCAAGCATAACGGTCTCCTCTTCAAGTGTATCAATGTATTCCACAACTCCACTAGCCACCAGGTCCTGCCAACTGAAAAAAAACTAGTTAATAAAGTAGGCACAAAATCACAGGTTGTAACCAAGTGTGTTGAAAGAGCAATTATATTCCTTAACCCCTTCATGACTGAGCTTATTTTTAGTTTCTGTTCGTAAATGACTGATGCACTTTTGAGATTTTTGCTGTGTAATTCTTCCAGGTCAGTAATATACTTTCTTAAAAAGTGCACCCAGACATATTATATATAGTTTTTTAGAGGACAGATAGGGCTATATATTTATAATCACATAATGTTTACCTAACGCCTCACTTAGGACAAATATAAAAAAAACGAGGAAAAAAAAACAAAAACTTAAAACACCTTTTCCCCAGATTTGATTTGTAGTATTTTTTAGAAAAACAGCACAGCTAAAAAAAAAACAAAAAAAAAAAACCCAATACATTCATTTATTTGTCTTTCATTTGGAAAAACCTCACATACCTAGGATTTTACAGATTTTTATGTACTTCACAGCCTAAAACCTAACATTTTAATCTTTTTTCTCTAAAAGCTAAAAGTGGTCACCTGGCATACAATGTCACGGTCACTAAGTGTCACACTTAGCGACAGCAACATACTTTGAACATCACTGTCATGAGGGGGTTAAAAAATGTTTTTACTCCTTAGGATGAAAAACAGATTTTCATTGTAAGTTTCATTGTTAATGTTTATATAAATGATCGTATAAAAATATATTTAAATTATTTTTTACACTTTATTTTTATTTTTTTTACACTTTTCACTATTTTATTAAACATTTTTTTTACAATTTATGTTATTTATTTAATTATATCAAGCAGTCATTGTGAATTAATCTCACTATTACTGCTTGAGAAATTAATTTATTTTTGGTTATTATTAGGCTGCTTCAAACTTAAGAACAGCCAATAATAACCTTAGAGACACTGATCCTGCAGCATTTCAGGATCAGATGTCACTAAAGGTTTTCTGATCGTTCCAACAACGATCAGAAAACCTGCAACATTGTTTTCAGCGATAAAAACATGTATTGAAATGTTTTTATTGCTGAAAGGTTAGAGAAAAAAAAAAGGCAGTATATATCGGGTTTTCCTGATCTACGGTATACCAGCTGTCAGTGAGAGCAGTAAATGCCACTCTGCTCTCACTGTCAGACACTCGATTACTGAAATGGATGTCGGGTGTCTGAAAAAGCTTAACTCTTTCATTAATGGATGCCCCAATACTGAGGCATCCATTAATGAATGGTAACCGCTGATTCTCAGTGGATAACCAGCATTACAGAGCCGCAAATAACTGGTCACGTACAGTATAGGTGGCCAGTCATTTGTAGAGGGACATACAGTGTATGTCTCCCGTCACGAAGGGGTAAAAGTATATTTTCCACTTTTGGAGCCATTTACATAGCATAACAAGGTAAAAATGGCTGCTGGCATTTTAAGTGCCTTTTACATCCCTTTTACTTGCTTAAAGGAGAACTATGAGGCGAGTCATTTTCACTCATCCTCATAGTTTGAGCTGATGTGTGACAATGAAACTGACACGTCGGCTCTATAGATCGGGAAGTGAGCGAACACAAACCGTCGCTCGCTCACTTCCCGATCAACTCCCTGCAGAGAGCGGTGACCGACATTCACTGCTCCCCGCAGGGATGCCCCTCTCCAAACTTCCAGCACTGACTGGAGGAACAGACGTGGGAGGGGGCAGGGAGAGCCCGCTGTCAATCAGCTAGCTGGGTGAATCTTGACAGTATTGTCGGGATCCATCCCAGCTGCAGCGCTTTGGGTCACAGGAGGATGTTAGTATAGGTCTTCCCGTGACCCTTAAGAGAATTATGGGTTAAAAAGGTTATCCCATAGTTCTCTTTTAAAAGTCCTACTTACCGTCACTCCTACGCAACATTAACAGGGGTGGGGGCTTGAGGCTGCCAGATTTAATCAGTTGTAAACTAGATTTGAACACTACCTACCTGTCCAAACAGTTAAAGACTTTGAGGCATTGTATGTTAAAGGAGAATTATAGGGCGAGTGAAAAACACTCATCCCCATAATTAAAGCTTAACTATGACACCTGAAGCTATCACAGGTCGGCTCTATTGATCGGGAAGTCAGCAAACACATACCGACGATCACGGACTTCCGCATCCTCTCCCTGCAGAGCGGTGACTGTTAATCTACACTCCTTGCAGGGATTCCCCCACTCCTGACTGGAGGAACAGACAGGGGAGGGGGCAGACAGAGCGGGCTCTGCCGCTAGCTGTCAATCAGCCAGTGGGGTGGATCTCGACAGTATTGTCGGAATAAGTGTCGGCTGCGGCGCTGCTCTGCGCTCTCCGCATTGCCTGTTATATGCGGAGTTTTACTTTTAATTTCAACCTACCTAGAATAGACCGCAAATCTGCACAAGGGTCTTCGCCAAGGAAGCATCTAAATGGTAACAAATATTTTGTAAAAAAATAAATAATTTCAGGTATTCGGTGTGAATCGAAACCCACAGTGGGGTTTTCTCAACTTTGACTGCAAAAGTGGAAATATATTACTAAGCAATGTTTCATCTCGCAATTAGTTCCAAGTGCCATATGAAAACATTAAGTGGTATATTTTTAAAAGCAGTGAATGTGACTTTCCAACATTCAAAGCAGGTAAATCAATTACCATCATTTATAATACATGCACCAGAAGATTTACATGCCGTGAATGTTTGGCGAAAGTCACATTCAATGCTGTATACAATAACATATATGATAGCATATAATATACAGCAGAATGTTTAATATATATTTTTACAAATGCCAGTTGGGTGTATAGCTTGCATAGAAAACAAAGAAAAAACAATATTTCACCTATAATTATTGTACTCCCTCTCTTTTAGCTGGTCAATGTGTCTTCTTTTAAGCAACAATTTTTGTTTTTCTACAATAAGTAGTGGACGACAAATCCTTCCTGCATCTGTGTAAATTCTTATTTCTCTTTCCCTTATATCCCTTATCATTGAGACCTAGGGGGTAAAAAAAAAAAATATGTCAGTTGACACAGGTTAACATATTTTGGGGGAAAAAATAAAGGCAAAATTAGAGAGACGCAAAGATCACCCCAGGCACTCAGATTTTGAATTTGTTTTACACTGAAGCTTATTCCGCAGATTTAAATATGAAAAAGGTATTTGCTAATATATGACAGATGTTTAGAGGTGCAGGAACAAGCTTATTGTATAGGATTATTTGATTATCTAAAAAAATTGCAAATGTGTGCCACTTCCAGTTAATATAAAGTGAATGGTTTTTGGCCTCTGAACAATTAAAACATGGGTATCCAGTATGCATTATTTTGATCCAATCAAACAATATTTGATATCAAACATGTATTATTGAGTCAAGAGAAATATAATTGGGAGGGACAGACTCTAAAATGATATGGCTGGATAGTAAAAGGCAGAGAGAAAGCAGATCCTAGATCATAGGGAAAGAAAGCAGGGGGATGATTATGGACAATGGGAGAAAAGACTATTAAAAAAGTTTTTTCTTACAAGAAAAGAATGAGTTGAGTGAAAAACACTCATCCCCATAATTCAAGCCAAAGAAGCTGTCACAGGTCAGCTATATAGATCGGGAAGTCAGCCAACACACACACAGCCGATAGCGGACTTCCCAATCTTCTCCCTGCAGAGAGAGGTGACCATCAGTCACCGATCACCGTAGGGATTCCCTTCCCCGATCCTCCAGTGCTGACTGGAGGAACGGACAGGGATGGGGGAGGGGGCAGGCACAGCTGGCTCTGCCTCTAGAGAGGCTGAGCCAGCTTGTCAGTGGAGTGCATCTCAGCAGCATGGTTGGGATCTGTCCCAGGTGCGGCGCTATTAGCATAAAGCAGGCAATAGCTTGTGTTATACTGAGTTTTGGGTCACCAGAGGACACCATATATCTCCTCCCATGACCCTGGAGGGGTCATGGGAAAAAAGGTTGCCCCATAGTTCTTTAAGTGCGAGTTATTGGTAAGTGCGAGTTATTGGCCAGAGAAACAGCAATTTCTTTGTGCTCACCAAAATCTTTTTCTTAAATAGTTCCATCAGGGATTACAGCAGACCACTGCCACATGAAGGAAGCACACCAAGTATAAGTGTATGCATCTCACCTGAGAGTTCAGAAGTAGCTTGCAGAACTCAATACAGACAATAACTGCCCAATGTCCGAACAGAAGCACAGTTTTTAGAAAAGGAGTTACAGGGCAAGTCGTAAAAAAAATTAAATAAATAGTTTTTTGTAATTTCTGCTAAATCCTTTTCTCCAAGTTCACTGACAGACACAGCTCTTCTTATTCACAATGCCTGAGTTTTTGTGCCACCTGCAGAATTAGGATCCCAAGAACAAAACAAAGCTCCACTTTGGCCACCAGCTTCCACTGGTGGCCCATGACACCCTTGTAGAGTAGGCTGCAATTGGGAACTGAAGCTTCCTGATGTCAAAGCCTACTATATTCTGGCAAATCCAACATGAAACGGCAGTGACAAAATCTGCCTGGCTCTTTGGCAAACCAATCATAACCATGAAAAGTGAAGCCCATCTGACAAAGGGGAGCAGAACATTTATATAGACACATATATACACACAGTATATACAGGGCTTGAAAAATCCACTTGTCCTCTCATCTGTGACGAGAAGCTTCCCGGCCAGCCATTGCAATTACACGGCCGGCAGTTTTACATTCATGCGATCGGGCGTCTCTACAGACGCCCGACCGCTTGTATTATCAGCAGCTGTCGTGCCGGTCCCGAGATCCGCTGTGCCCGATGCGGGCTGGACCGGCACAGCAGCTCTGTGACAGGAGATCAAAGGAAGTTCAGTACACGATTTCCCTTTGAACTCCTGTCCCCAAATGCAGGAAGTGATGTATATTACATCACTTCCAGCATTCAGTGTCACTCTCCAGCTACAGAAGCTGATGAAGCAGACCTCTACTTCATCAGCTTCTCTGGGGGTCCCTAGGTGACATTAGGGGTCTTGGAGACCCCTGATGTCTTCATAAAGAGGACCTGTCATGTAAATTGGCTATCACATATGGGGCTCTTTAGCCCCCCCATGTGATGGCAATAAAGTTGTGTAAAAAAAAAAATACAATTAAATAAAAAAAAAAAAAAAAAAATTTTAAAGTTCCCCGCCCCCCACATACACACGCATATATGCGTCGGGGGCGCCTAAGTGCGATAACGACGATTGTGCCTATTGTGCCGCACATGTTACATATCGCCGTGTGCAATAATTTTAGAGCCATTAATCACTGATAACACTAAACTGATGAGCAATAAAAGCGTTTTATAATAATCTGGCCACTCAGTGTGTGTGTGTGTGTATATATATTATATATATATTTTATTATACACACACACACACACAGTGTGTGTACATATACACCAACCAAAACATTATGACCACTGGGAGGTGAAGTGAATAACATTATCTCATTACAATGGAACCTAGAAGTGGGTGGAATATATTAGACAGCAAGTAAACATTTTGTACCTGACGGTGTTGAAAGCAGAAAAAAATGGGCAAGTGTAAGGATTTGAGTGACTGACAAGGGCCAAATTGCGATGGCTGGACAACAGGGTCAGGGCAACTTCAAATCTGCAGCTCTTTTGGGATGTTCCCAGTCTGCAGTGGTCAGGCCCTCCCAAAAGTGGTCCAAGGAAGAAAGAACGGTGAACAGACCACAGGGTCATGGGCGGCCAAGGCTCATTGATGCAAGTGGAAAGCAAAGGCTGGCCTGTATAGTTCAATCCAATGGAAGAGCTACTTCTAGCTCAAAATTACTGAAAAAGTTAATGCCAATTCTGATAGAAAAGTGTCTGAACATACAGGGCATCACAGTTTGTTGTGTTTGGGGCCACATAGCTGCAGACGGGTCAGGGTGTCTATGCTGACCCGTGTCAACCAGCAAAAGTGCCTACAACGGGCACATGAGCATCAGAACTGGGCCACAGAGTAATGAAAGAAGGTGGCCTGGTCTGACAAATCGCATTTCCTTCTACATCATCTGGATGTACGGGTGCGTGTGTCACTTACCCGGGGAAGAGATGGCACCAGGATGCAGTAAGAAGGTAAGCAGGCAGAGACAGAGTAATTCTTTGGTCAATGTTCTGCTGGTAGACCTTGGGTCCTACCATTCATGTGGATGTTACTTTTACACATACCAGCTACCTTAGCATTGTTGCTGACCAAGTACACCCCTTCATGAAAATGGTATTCCCTGATGGCAGAAGCCTCTTTCAGCAGGATAAGATGCCCTGCCACACTGCAAAAATGGTTCAAAAATGGCTTGAGGAACACAGAAAACGAGCCTAAAGTGTTGACTTGGCCTCCAAATTCACCAGAATTCAATTAAGCATCTGTGGGGTGAGCTGGAAAAAAAAAAAGTCTGCAACTTACAGGATTTAAAAGGATATGCTACCAACGGCTTGGTGCCAGATACCACAGCATACCTTCAGAGGTCTAGTGGAGTCCATGCCTCAATAGGTTGGGCTGTTCTGATGGCAAAAAGGGGGCCTACTCATTATTAGGCGGGTGGTCATAATGTTATGGCTGATCGGCGTGCGTGTATAGATAGACTATATATCAGAGGTTACAGGAAGAGCCATAAAGAGGAAGATCCATGACAGATAAGGACACGTATGTAAAAGTCTCTCAAAGAAAGAGCTTAGAAATTATAAATAAAAAAAACTGCCCTATAACCAAATAAAAATTAAAACAAGTTTATCTGTGCAAAAAAAAAAAAAAGACCCAGTAACTACATATACAAGCTAACAGGTAACGCCTGGTAACTTATTTGTTTTAATAAAGTTTGTGATAGTTTTACGCTATGTGCCTTTTGTGAATATTTTCTTTTGAGCCTTGGTTAGGAACTACAAGTTGGCGGTCAGTCACTACAAGTTGGAGGTCAGTGCTATCATGCTCTGGGAGAGCATGATAAGAATTTTATTTTGCAGCCTGTAGGGACTACCTCCCAGATCCACCCTGAGATTTTCCAGCGGGGGCAAACCTTCATGCCAAAAGGAAAAGAGAAAAATAGCACTTTGTGTCAAACTCAAAATATATTCCTAAAATGTAAGCAAAATGTTATAAATTGTGAAATTATCACAAAGTCGGCTCAGAGGAAGTCAACAGTGACTAAATGCATCAGGTGGGCGGATTCATGCAAGCATTATGACCATATAGAAAGGAATTCTAGTGGAGATCATTTATGTGCAACTGCCTTATTTTAATTGTAAGTGCATTTTAATAATTTTAAATAAATTTATTCTGACATACTACACTATGGGAAGCATTTTTTCTCTCGGAGTACAAGAGAAGGTGGAAGATGGAGGAATAGTATCAGACGGTTTTGGAGCGATAAGCTAGTGTTTGGAAGAATATTCCCCAGTTTATCGTCTGACCAAAAAACAAAGGACAGGATTTGGTTATTGTATATATTATACACACATATATACATACAAAGCGCTATTTGTTCATCTGAAATATGGTGAGCAATAGGAGTCGGTGAATGCGGCCAGATCTTATCTTTGAGCACGGTGGAGAATACCGATTCACAAATCGTTTATGCATTCACGGAGATGGTGTGGATTATAAAAGTTGGAAGATAGGATCTTCACATATTTTAATGACTTTATTGCATTAAGAAGGCATGGACTACACATATGGATATGTAAAATAAGTGGGAGTTGTACATAACTTGCGAGATTTAATACAGGACTTTCTATATGTACACACAGTCTATGAGATATACTAGCACAAGTCTATGTTTTTTTGTTATTCAAATTTTTTCCCCCAATGTTTATTATGGCTTATAGTGTCTAGACCATTAGACCAAGAGTTTTTTTTCTGAAATATCATTAGCACAGGCATTGTGCAACACAGGTGTTGTGGATAACACAATTGCTCTTAAGAGTGTTATTTGATTCCTAGCACAGTATATCTGTATTCAAAAGGTGCCCATACACCTTACGAC